CTATTTCAACAGATATTCCTACATATAAAATCATATTAACCATTAAATCCTGTGAAATACCCCCGTTCGTCCTCCCGTCTCTTCAATCTCTGAAATTGTCAGCCGCCTTCCCCGGTAGGGCGTGTCGGGAGCTCGGCGGTGGCTCTTCTGGGCCATGTTGCTCGCAATGAAGAGAGGTGCCGCTGGAAGGAGCTTTTTCGTCGGGGAGTAGTTTGTGCCGTCCTCCGGTCTCTAGCCTCTGGTACCGGGTTTGAGTGGCGGATGTCTGGCTCTCCTTCGGCTTCTCCGCAGTGGCAGCTTCCGGTACTCTCGCGGAGTGAGCGGCGTCCCCAATTTCCCGATTTCGGGTTTGGGGTGGGGTTCGATTTCCGGCCAATTGGCATCTCTTGGTCCTGGCTCAGTGCTTGGTGGTCAGCGATTGAAGGGTGGGTGTTGATTCTTGGCCCGTGGTCGCCGTTCGGGTGGTTATGGTGCTTTGGAGTCACGGACGCTGGAGATCGTTTGGCGGGGCTTGGTTGCTGGCTGGGCTGGTCTGGTTTTGGTTGGGCCGAGCTTCTTCGGGCTGGTTATGGGCTGGTTTGAGTTGCTTTGGGCTGGGCCTAGCTGGGCTGGGTCGGTGGGTTGTTGGTCTGGTATCTTTCCTCCGGGCGTCGGTGGAGTTGTTCGTCTGGATGAAGGTTCGGTCCGTCGGCTCTTGATTCAGTTAGGCGTTCTCTTGCAGTTTCTAGGTCAGGATCTTGGACTGATACCTTGCCGTTGTTGTGCTCGATGTGGTTTCTACTGTGGGAAGGGCTCCCGTTTTTATTTGTTTTGTTGTTGCTTGAGTTTGTTTAGTTAAATATTTTTGGTCTGGACTCTTTGCCTGAGTCTATTTGTGTTTTTTGGTCTTGTTTCTTAGGTTTGGGCCGTTGGCCCCGATACTGATTCTCCTGTGGGGGGCGTTTCTATTCTCCCGTGGGGAGCGTTCGTAGTTGGCGTGTTGGTGTCTTTTAGTTGTGTGTAGTGTGTCCTCTATTCTAGCGTGGCTAGCAAGACTCTAGGCAGTCTTTCGATCCGTCCTCTCAGTTTTTAGTTCTTGGTTGTATTATTCAGCTTTGGGCTGCTTGTTATGCACAGTTGTGCGTTTTGATATATAATATCTCTATCGTTTCGAACAAAAAAAAATCCGTTGGAAAAACGGCCGTTGAAATAGCAAATATCCAACGGAAAATCCTATGGAAATAAATTTCTACAGCTATTCCAACGGAAAAAATCCGTTGGAATTCCTCAACTATCCAACACTTATTCCAACATAAAATTAAGTTTGTTGGAATATTCATTGGAATTTTCAACGGAAATTTTTGCCGTTGGAATTTTTCGTTGGAATTGTAGTGTTTTTTTGTAGTGCTCATTTTTTAAATATCTTTTTCCACTTTACCATCTCCATTACAGATTAAAAAAATAAAAATAAAAAAAATTATATACATCTATATAAATTACAAGTTTACAACCATATTTCCCAAATCTTGGTGTCAAATATTGATATTCAACATTTATAATAATCTTCATGATGGAACATAAAATCTGCTTCAAACTTTGACCAGAATAGTTACTTTAAGTGTCAGCAATTTGAATTCCCCATTACAAAAATTATTATAGAAATGTAAATGTCCATACTATGAAAAGAAAATAATCTTACAAAAAGTTTCATTATTGAGATTTGATTGTCTTAATTTACAATCAAACATATGGCAAATGCTACTTTCCCTACGGAACTATTCTGTTGGGATTTGCAACTGTCGTGGATAGTTGTCTAGTTAATCTAACGGTTATAAACTCTGACGGAATGGTTTCGTAACAGGACAGTAAAATCTCCCAAACGTAATTTGCAACATTACACAAATTTAATTACTATACATAGTGCCATAAAATTCAATTTTTCCACAAATGTCAACCAACAATGTTGACCACATTTTTTTCCCCCACTAGGTAAATCATAATTCACACCATCAAATTAAAAGTTCACAAAATCTATAATGTATTTTATAATCAGATTTTTTTTATTATATTTGGAAAAAAATATATAAAAATTGTCCAACACTCTATATAATGTGTGCTAATCTCTTTCAATTCTACACCAACAAATAAGGACAAAAATTGAAAAAAAAAAATAAAATAAAATAAATATAAAATGGATGTGAATTGTTTTTTCTCTCTTTTTGCTACACTGGTTTGGCTCTTTTGCATTAGCAACGTTAATGGCCAAAACAACAACCATTTCAAAGTGACTGATTATGGAGCCATTGCAGATGGAAGAACGGACTGTAGTAAGGTAATTATTGGGCTCGTTGGGCCCATTAGACCGACTCATAATAGGCCCAAAGAGAATACAGGCGGACTGAACTTTTCATTTGTTCAAATTTTGCAGGCTTTCTTGGCCGCATGGAGGGATGCTTGTGCGAGCTACGGTGGGGTTATCGAAGTCCCAAAGAAAACTTTCGTTGTGAGTGGTGCGAGTTTCAATGGGCCCTGTAACGGCCCAACATTTTTCATGAACAAAGGGGTGATACTAGCTTCTCCAGGGGCCCACTATAAGGATTTCTGGATCTCGTTTTATGAAGTTAATGGGCTCACGATCCGGGGTGGTGGTACCTTTGATGGAAATGGGCCAACGGCCTGGCGATTCCATAAATCTCGGCCCACTGTAAGTGTTTAGTCAAATATATGAAATTGAGACAATAATCTAGTGAACTGATAACATTTCATTAAACGTTAGATATTTTTTGCCACAGTCTATTTACATCGCCAAATGCAACAACCTAAACATTCGAGACATCGTGTCCCTCAATAGCAAGATGTTCCACTTCCACATAGTCGTGTCCGACAACGTGGCGGTCAACAACGTGAACATAATGGCACCGGCCGATAGCCCGAACA